GATCCCCTCGACACTGTACTGTGTGCTTGTGCTTACCACCGATTTATGCAATACAAGTAGCCTTTTGCTAATTCGTGTGCCTTCTTGTTGCCTTTGTGTGTGTGTTTGCTTTGTTTCGTAGGCTTACTCGCCCATTTCGAGTGCCGCACGGGGCCCCAGCGATTATCCCCGTGACACCCTTCTACGTGTGGTATTCAGTAACGATTACCCCTAAGCAGCTAAGTTTTCAGTAATGACCCCCTCTACTATGGGGTTAGTGATAATTACCCCCTATTTTTTCATTGGCTACAAAGACCTCCTAACTTTCACTTTGTGACAAATATCCCTTTCACAGTCAAGTCAAATAATAAAATATATCAAATTACCAAAATATTTATCTAAATTTGCCTTGTACTCTTTTCACCATTCTTTTCTTTTAAACCCTAATTGACCCAAAAATACTTTTATTTTCTCCAAATGAAATCAGTTAAAATAACAAAAACCATTTTGCTAATATAGAAAAAATAAATTTCTTTAAATTATTATTTTATTGTATGACAATGTTTATCTTTATCTTAAAATATAAAAATTATTCACTCTTTTCTCTAATAAATAAATAAATAACAAGTGAAACCTTAAATTTATACCTGTCAAAAGAAACATTCATCATTTCAATTGAATATTGAATCCAATTAGAAATCTACAACGATCTATTACAAACAATCAAGAAACCTCAATATTATATGTAGAAAACTAATAAGATCATAAATGGTTTAAATAAATAAGAAAATAGTAGGTTGGGGATTTCAAAAATCTAAATAGCTAAATAAGAATTTTTTCAAAGTTAATGGCTGAAGCTCTAGCATGTGTTTGGTTCTGTTCATGTTTATTAAATAAACGTTTGTACTTTATTTGTTGGTAAAACCAAGAAATACAATAATTGTAACCATTTATGACAACTAGGCACCACTTCAGCGTAGCAATGAATAAATGCCTAACCGTTTGTGAAAGCTTCAAAAAATAACTTTTACAAACAATTGACATGCACATAAACCAAGATTCATTTTTTACATTTTAGATATATGCAAAAGAGTAAGAAAGAAAATGCTGATATGGCACCTATGTGACACCATAAATAAACGTAAACAAAACCAAACACCCTAGAGATATTTGTAAAGAAGTGAAAGTTGAAGAGGCCTTTATCATAAATAAAAGTTTAAGGATAATTATCACTGACCCTATATTAGAGGCGATCTTTATAATT